GACAGCCAAAAATCTAATGGAATATCTCTCCGGGCTGAATCGCAGATAATTATTCTCAAAGAGGAACGGGGGCCAGTAATGAAATGCTGGACATTTTGAGACCATTAGGTGATTAGAGCTGATGCATTATTTACTGCTTCAGCTGCTGCCCCTGCTGCTGGAGTTGCACAGAATTCCGATCAGCGCACATTCTCAATTGTTTTTATCCTGTATTCATCTCGACTATTGGATACCTCACGACGAACGAGACGCATGCAAAACACCGCGCTTGGTAACCGAGGTAACCGCGGCGAGAGAGGCGTGCAAGCTGTTTTGTGTTGCGTCGAGCAAATTGGTTTTTTTTTTTTTTTTTTAATAGAGGCATGTTTGTCCGGGAAAAAAAAAAGCATTTAAATTAATCATATCCGTCAATGCTAATTTTATATCTCGCCAAATAAAATCACAAAAACTGCAGTGGAACCGCAATTCTCCAGCAGCTTAAAGTGCGTAAAATTCAGTTCCATCCAAAATATGTCTTCAATTTTTATGATCTTTTTGCAATATAATTACTTACCGCAATGCATTGGCATGTGGGAAAGGACCGCTAGCCAGCGATATACCGTATTTTCCGCATATTAAAGCGCTTCAGAGTATAAGGCGCACTTTTAATGAATGGCCTATTTTAAAACTGTTTTCAAATATAGGGCGCACCGCATTATAAGGCCTACAGAATAGAAGCGACAATAGTGGCCGCGGTTGTGTTATGCATCCACTAGATGGAGCTACGCTAAAGGAAATACAATCCAATACAGCTTTATTTATGTGGCGCTTTCATAATCGCTGCAGCTGTAACAAAGCGCTTTACAGAACATTTAAAATACTACGTCCAAGAAATCAGAATATTGATCCATATATAGAAATGGCTAACTTTTTTTTTTCTTAATGCCATGCCAGTCAATCATGTTAAAAGAGCACATTTGACTCTGGAATTTAAAAATTCCCAATCCACTTGCCCTCAATGTTTACAATTTTCACAATCCGAACAGCAAAAACCTGCTCGAGGTGGCGGAGGTCGAACTCACCCTGCTTGGAGCCGGCGCGGTCGCCGCTGGGCCCCGTGTTGGGCGTGTACTTGGTGTCGCGGGTGGCGGCGCTGTGCCGCGTCCAATCAAAGTCGTCGTTCTTGTCTTGGGTGAACAAGCAGATGGGCTCCTCCTCGAAGCTGCAGTGGAACTCTCCTGACGAGAGTCACAGACGTACAGTCACGTGCGTGCGCTAAGTTGAAATTGGGTGAAAATACTTGGAGCGTAGGGGGGGGCAGAGTAGGTGCATCATGAGATAATGCTAAGTCGCGTGTTGGGTAATGAAGAGATGCATGTGCAGAAGAAGTAGCCCACGAGGTGCAACCGAGACGGCGGCGCAGTCGGAACCTCTGCTTAACGTGTGCAAAGAAACAAAGTTAAACGGCCAACCGGAGGATACGCCGTTGCCCCGGTGGTGTCTTCAAAAAGTATCAGCATTTTGCATTCAGTATGCCGGGCTGCTAAATATTCATTGATTTATTAAAACGTAGCTCATAGCCATTTGCTGAGTCACGACCTCCAGCGAAGCGGCGTGGGCAGCGAGCTCGTCAGGTGAGTTGCGTGGGCGCGCCGAGGAAGAGGAAAGCCGAAAGAGGTCGGGCGCTAGGTCGGGAGGATGCAGGAACCTCTCGCACCTGCTCGTGGGCGCGCTGTTTTTGAAAATGAAGGTCAAGCTCCAGGAGCGGTGTTTTCTTTTTCCCGCAGGTGTTTGGATTGGACGAAGAGTGATGGAGAAAGATGAATAATATTTATCCGTCCACTCGTCGGTTTATTATCGCAGCGTTTTTCTCAACTTAAGTCAGACAAGGAACATATTCAAAGTCATCGTGGCTCATTTGTACAACAACCGGGATAGGTCACAAGAATAACTGAGCATTTAATTGGCTCAAAGACAACATAGGGAGGGAGTTAGTTGTCAGTTAATTTCGTTGGTATGCATTTTTTTTTCCCCCGTTGTGTATAAAATAATTATTTACAGCAAACTATCACGTCATGTAGTTTGAGATAAATTTGAAAGAAGAAGAACGAAACAGGAAGTCCTGTATTTCTGCACAGGCTACTTTTTGTTGAAAATTACCGAACGCCATCCTCTGCTATCCTGCTTTTTATGCTTACAGAAAGTGACGCCTATGAGTTCCCTTTTATGATGTGGAAAAAAAAAGATTTTTTTGTTGTTGTTGTTTTTTTTTTAACTGTAGATAATGTTGTGAGTTTAAAGACCATTTTAAAAAGTGCCGATAAAAACATGCCTCGGGAGTGTTTAAATAGGATATTTCTACATCATGGATTTCATACGCTTCATTGTTTGAAGCAGTTCGAGATGAAAGAGGGAGAGAATCAAATTTTCATTTCAGGAGTGGATCAGAGTGCGCATGACGTCAGACACGTCTGCGACAAGCTAAGTTTGAAAGTAACCGGAGATTACTTCAGGATTATTAAAGCGGCGTCTGAGAGGAAATGCGTTTGTCGTTTCTTGCGAGCATACATCTTGTGAGGAAAAAAAAAAAACAGGCCATATAAATATCAATAAATATTCCCGGCGGTGCTGTGTGGCTCCGCTCTCTCAATCACTTCAAGTGTGTGATTACTTTGGACATGTGATAATGTGCGAGGCTTCATACTTACTTAGGTGAGGGTTGATGGGAGCTGCGGAAGACAGAAGCAAACGAAAGGCATTTAGGAAAAGCGGTTCGTAGACTTTGACTCCTCACACAAACACAAACCTCGTAAGTTGGGGCATTTCGAGATCAAGATACCATTGTACTGTCTTTCCAAAGGGGAACGAAAAACGTTTGTATGCCAGTCCGAATGACCGTAATAGGATTTTTCTCTTTCTCAGAAATGCTTTTAGTGGCATTGCCGCTTCTCCTGTCCAAGGTGACTCCCATTTGGAACGCTAAGCCCATTTCATACTTCCCTTAAAATGTCAAAATGAACCACCATTGCCTCCGCTAATCAAATTAAATCCCTCATCCGCTCCTTCCTTGTCCCTGACTCCATGGTTAACATTGCCAGTGTCACAAAGGTAGAGACAACTCTCCCGGTTAGTTTTCCTGCACTTATTTTAAAAAAAAAAAAAAAAAAGTGTTTTCCAAGCAGAGTAAACAGCATTTAACCTGCCAGGAAGATTCATGAGCATTTTCCAATGATCGATGGCTGACCGGCCTAATAGATGTGATGCAGCAGCTCAAGCACAAAAACTATGTAGCCGCATGATTTATGGACGCTTCCCAGCCACTAAAGGGGAAAGGAGGGATGGGTGGGGATTGATTAGAATCCAAACAATTAAAGCCAGTAATAACAAATCATCCCGACAAAGGAAAAAAGTTCTCCTGAAGCATGTAGGCACACAGCATGGAGATATTATATTATAAGTGTCCAGTCAGCGTGCTTATGCCGCAACTGTGGGCGTGTGCTCGCCATATAACTGCTCTAATCATTTTTCTTCTTTTTTTTTATGTTGCCAATCCAAAACAACAGTAGAGTGCGCAGGATGAATAGCACTGCAGCATCGCAAGTGTGTGCGCTTGAATGCGGTTAGCGCCGCAAAAAAAAAAAAAAAAAAAACATTCAATGACCACTCAGCGCCCCAGGCCTCCTTTCCCCATACCTTCGCCTCCCTTCTGTCTTTCACGAGCATCCTCACAGACAATATGTTTTGTTGTCATGTCTTAGTATTTATGTTCTTCTTCTTGTCGCTACCTGCGGCTCGCTCGCCATTTGGTATGGTCCGCATGAATGTGTCTGCTCAGGCAATGCGTCTTCTCCCACTGAGGAAATCAAGTCGAGGGAGCCCAGAGGCTACTTTGCTGCTACTTTGCACATACTCACACACCCACAAAGAGGATTTTAATTTGCAATTTAACGCGGGGAACTATATCGGACAAGTGAAAACAAACTAGGACTGTTGATGCAACTATTTCACACGATGCGCTGTTTAAAATGGAGGACTAAGAGCCTCGGCAAGATGATTGATGATGAAATGGAGACGCTCGCCAACGCAAATATTCTGCGATGCTTTCACACGCTGTGGCAAGACAATCCCCCCCCCCCCCAAAAAGTGATACAAAAAAGCTCAGCGTTTGACTGAACCACTGCTTGGGAGTTAAAAAAAAAAAAAAAGTACAAACAGTGGTGCCTTGAGATATGTAACTCAAAACACTCGTGTTCATTTCTAATCATCTCTCCCCATTGAGATGAATGCAAGTGCCATTAATCCGTTTTCACATTTCCCTCAAAACAAACAAAAAAGTCAAAAAGCACCATCGACTATTGATAACCGTTGCTAATGTTGCAGTATAGTCATAATGTCATATTTTTTTAATGATTTAGTTGTTGATTTAGTACTCTCGAGTCTTATCTTGGTCAATGACTTCAGAACTGCATCGAGACAATAGTTATTTCTTGGAGTCCAAGCACACAATGGTCCTCCAGTGCGCAATTAGTGAATCAAATGTCATTCTTTGGCTGGTAAAGAGCGAACATGACGTGCAAAAGCTTTCTAGAAAGCATATTTTAACACTCGCCTTCCCACGAAACAGCAATTACGATTCTGAGAATCAACTTGTCCAAATACAGTAATGCGCACGTCCACTCGTGCGTGGAGTTCACTCCTGAATCGGCAGCACGCAGGAGGCATGTGGAGGTATATGTGCTTTTAATTTACCGCTGCGCGCGCTCAAGCGATTGGTCTCGGAAAATGAATCATTGCATTGACCTTAACCAAAAAAAAAAAAAAAAAATTCTGATTGGGTGGATGAATTTATGCAATTAATACGTCTTTACAGGTGTTTTATGATGTCAGAAACGCAAGAGGGAATAATCATTTCAAGCTTCAGAACGGGAAAAGGATTGATGTCGTTCGCGGACACTAAATTGTTTTCACTTTCTTTCATTGTTGTATTCTCAATTTCGATGTTTAGATCAGCCAGAGTTTTGATGGAGCTTTATGCTGCCGATTCTGGTTCCGTGAGTGAGATTGGCCCAGACCGATCCCCCCCCCCCCAACGACCCCCACTTTAGAGCTGCTCACTGAACAAAAACCCCGCTGCAGTATTTCTGAGAGCATTATGCTGAGCTGTGTAGCCTTGCGCTGCAGCCGCCCCAGTGTAAACAAACGGCTTAAATATGTACTCCTCCTTCCAGGATGTCGTCTGAGCAGGTGCTGAGTTAGTCATTGTGCGGCGGTGACACAGCCATCCATCAAGGCTCCAGCTGGGGACGCCGTAACTACTTTTCTTTTCTCCCCCAAAAAGCTTTCTCCGAGCTTGTTGAAGCCGAATCGAAACGGCGCTCCCAAGATATGGACTGTACGTCATGTAGTTACGGTCTTATAAGGTGACGATCCTTCCATGAAAAAACGTGAACCAAAACGTGACGTTAAAACCAACGTACATAATGAACTTTAATTTTTGGCATACCGTTACACCCCTAAAAAACAAACATATATATATATATATATATATATATATATATATATACATTTCAGACTGATAAGTTTGACGAGAGGTATTGGGGAGGCCACTGTGAATTTCTAATCTCTTTGGCAACACAATGAAGGCAGAGTGCCATCCCAGTGTAAAACATTCAAGAGAATGTGGCACTGCAGGAAAGTTCCGTCAAGTGGCCTGGGAGACACACGCACACACACACACACACACACACACACACACACACACACACACACACACACACAGACAGAGC